CGTCTGATGTTTGGGCGAGAGGCCAAGTCGCCCGTGGGATCCCAGGGAAACATACAATTGCAGCTCGCTGGAAATCTCAACCATTCATTGTCTGTCGGAAGTTACCTGATCTACCTGTTTATCAAATTCGCCCAGAGGGGAGGAAGAGCCCAGTCAAATAATTGAATCACAATCATTTTCTGCCTTTATCTGATGCTGTGTGAGTTCCAGTCCAGATAGATGAACCACCTGTTGGCTGGCTTCGGACTCACAGATCTCCCCCATTCCCTCCTCAGCCCATCCCAGTCTCATAGAAGGAGGGGAACGAAGAGGAAGAGGGGGTGGAAATGGGAATAGATTGGCGATCAATTCTAACTGTAAAGGATTCTATAAAGGATGGCCTTTTGGCATCCACCCCTGTCTCGAGTTCAACTGCCCCTTCTACAAGTTTCCATCCAAAAATGTCATCTTCTTTGGAGACAATTCCTACATGACTTGCTGAGCCTACTTCTTCATCAAGCTTCAGTATTGATGACTTCCTTCTCCCGGAATTTAAACTTGATTCTCCAAAGGATTTTAGAAAAGAATCTGAAAGCAAGGAGGCTGCTGAACTCTTAAACCCAGAAGAGGCAGAGAGTGCTTCCCTTCAGGAATAGTCTAGTGAAAGAAGGGAGATAAGGGCACCCAAAAGACCGACCTACGAAGTTCTGGATGAAAGCTCTGAAGAAGTATTCCATGACAGTCAAAGAATCTTAGAAGTTCCCATTTACAGCTTGTTGAAGCAGATGGGAATTTGGTGCTTGGGTACAATACTTTTGCTCTTGGTGCACTATAAACTGTTTTATTATTGTTTTGTTTTTTTTGTAAATAAAGAATATAGGGGGTACACCAATTATGGAGAGTTTTTTTTTTTTTTTGCTGCTGCAAAAAAAAATTTAAATAAGATAAATAAAGTAAGTAAAGTAAAAAAAAAAGACAGGTGAAACAGGAGGAAAAACACCTGCGACTCAGAAGTAGGAACAGCAATTATGGAATATTTTTTTTTTGCTGCTGTTGGAAAAAATAAAAAAATTCAGAAAGCCAAAAAAGAAGGGAACCATTGCTGATGCAGAAGGAAGAACACCTGCAATGCAAAAGGGGGAACATCAATTATGCCCTAAATAATTTTGCCACTGCTGCAGCAAAAAAAGTATAATACATTATTTTCAACAAATTAAGAAAGCAAAAAAAAAAAGTGAACCACTGCTAACGCAGCAGGAGGAACGGCAATTCTGAAGAAATTTTTTTGCTGCTGCTGGAAAAAATTAAAAAATAATTAAAAATAATAAAAAATAAAAAAATGTAGAAAGCCCAAAAAAAAGGGGAACCACTGCTGATGCAGATGGAGTAATACCTGCAAAAAAAAAACTAAATGCAAGCATAGATATTTGTGGGTACCACTAAATTAAGTAGATGCTGTGCAGTAACCAAAAAAGGGTTGATAAAGTAATAATCTTAAAGTAAACAAGAGAAAAAAGATAACCAATTATCTGATTGATATATACATATTTATCCCGTTGGTGCACCCCGATGTGTTTGCTGTCTTGGCAGAAGACAGTCAAGTCATTGCCCATTCAGCATACCATGCATTTTGGCCTAGCCATGATGTCTCTTTTTTTTATTTTTGTTTTTAGGTTGTATTGTCCCGCTGTCTATAGGTGAGGTGATGTCTACTGTGCAGTTTTGATTAAATTGCTTGATACTGCAAGTTTGCTAATAAAAGTATTTCACGATTACATTTTGGTGTACCGCCTTGTCCTTTATGTAATCGCTTTCTTGTGGACACACTGTTCACACTCTTCTCTTTATATAGGAACAGAAATTACAGTATGCCCTAAATATTTGTATTGCTGTTGTTACGGCAAAAAATAAATAAATAAATAAAAAAATTAAGAAAGCAAAGAAGAAAAAACGAAACCACTTATGATGTAGGAGGAACACCTCCGACACAGAGGGGGGAACACTAATGATGGATTTAGCTGTGAGTCATGATTTTCCAAAGTCACCGTGACTTTGGCCAATCACGGCTCTCAGTGCATTGTGCTGTGATTGGCCAAAGCATTGCACCTGACCTGTGGTCGGATGCATTGCTTTGGCCAATCACGACTCTCACAATGAACTGTGAGAGCGCAGTGCATTGTGGGGCACTTGGCGGGCGAACAGCCCCCGAACGCTCTTACCGTTCGTGTGTTCAGCAAACACACGAATGGCCGATGTTCAACTTACGTTCAACTCAAACACTGAGCCCAACACTAGTGGTTTGCACTTCTACCTAGCAGCAATAGGGTCGTCAGTTCAAATCCTAACCACAGCTGTTCTCCCTGTGTCTGCTGGTAGGTTACTTGGCTCCTGTCTAAATTGACCCTAGTATGTGTATGTACTGTATAAATGTGAGTTAGGGACCTTAGATTGTAAGCTCCTCGACGGCAGGGCCTGATATGAATATATAATAAATATCTAAAGTGGTGCATAAATTGTCAGCGCTATATTAGTACCTGTAATCAATAAGTAAAATAGGGTGACAATACTCTGTAATCACCCAGTTGTGCTCCAGTCCTTTCACCCTGTCACATGAGCTTACGATGTATACTAGAAGTGGCAAATTAAGGACACATTTTGACAGCTCTTACTTAATTGTTTATACATGCTTCAGTGAACTAAATGTTATTCAGTTAGGGTTTATATTTATATATACTGTATTATATTTTTCGTTTAGATACAATTTACATAAATAAAATTCCCATTATTGATTTGCACACTTTACAATTTTTTCTTATCAAATAACTTTTTATTAGCATAAAGCATTGCACACATGACAGATATCACAACACAATTATATAGTTGGCAAGGCATTTAATAATAAATGCATGTGTCACGGGCAGACTGAAACAAAGTACATGTATACAGTCGTGTAGATCAAACAGTACAAAATAGGAAAAGTACAACATTTACAACCTGGAATGGCAGAATGAGGGTTGAAAACAAATTGCAAATATGAAAAAGGTATGTACATGTACCTTTAGTATGAGACAATACAATCTCGTAAACAAAAGGAAGCCTAGTAGTGGGGACCGTACGATGAAAATTATGGGTAGAACCCAATACACACACAAATAGAGGCGACAATACCTGTGCTAGATTTGCAGCAAACTTTGTTGCGTTAGCTGTGCGAGGGGCTAAGTCTGGTGTGTTAGGCAATATATTCATGAATTTTTGGGGGGAATTCTGATGTTAGGTATTTTTTCCTCTATTAAATAGTTCACTTGTTCCTATCTATTTGCAGCAACTTTTACAATTTATCAATTTATTATAACACCAAGATGGATAAAACGGACACAAATCAAATTACGTGGGAGCTGCTGGCTGACTAACCTAATTCCTACAAAAATTATTATTTTTAACTTTTTGTTTTTCATTTTTTAGGAACTTATACAAGGTATTGGTAGCCTTACAGTAATATAACAGTCATATTCCAGACTATACAATACCATCATGTAAATTGTAGGTTCCCATAAAAATCCAGGAACCAAGAAATCGGCATGCAAAACAACATATCTCACATTGTGTAATATGCACGACAACCACTCTGTATAAAACTCAAAAGTGCTCACTCACCTGTGAACAAACTGTTGTTACCATGCAAACAGTATACAAAAACAGCACTTTAACAGGTGTATAAAACTTAGCCCAATGTGTGAGAAGGAATCCATGCCAAAAAAATCAGCTGTAGCCAGGAACAGCACTTAAAATGAGCAGCAAAGCCCCTTACTGGAAGTGATGTGTTGGGTGCTGTTCCTGGCTGCAGATGATTCTTTTGGAAAGGATTCCTTCTCACAGATTGGGCTTTAAGTATTATAAACCTGTTGCAGGGTCATATTGATAGTATGTGCATGATCGCAATGGTTTCTTCACAGGTCAGTGAGCACTTTTTTATTCTATATAGAGTGGTTGTTGTACATATTACACTATGTGGGATACTTTGTTTTGCATTCCGATTTCTTGGTTCCTGGATTTTTATGAAAATCATAATTTGGAATTATCTCTTTGAAAATCCACATGGGTCACTTAATTAATACGGAGTGCTTTTTGACCACTGATAATTACAAGGGCAATCATTTCTGGTAATTGATGAAGTGTGTTTACCTGTTTTGTATTTTGGAGGTGTTATGATTTCCTTGGAATTATGTAATGGACTTGATTCTTGAAAAGTTGTGATATAAATTTTTTTCTTACGTTGGTTTATAATAAATTTTACTTTAGTTATGCTTTAGTGCTGCACTGTTTTTTTGGGGTTTTTTTTCATATTGGACATCATAATTTAAAGGGTAAGTTCACCTTTTGACCAAAAATAATAAATGCATATTTTTCTTGCAGGTAAAAAAATGTGCATGATTTATTTTTGGTTGCAAGAGCCTATTAAGCATTGCACCAGCGATCAGAAGATAACAGGTGCCTTGCAGGTCTCCTGCAGACTGTCATTATATCTGCCTCCCTGCATGAGATGTACGGTCAAGCTGATATACTGACAGGAAGATTCAATGAACTACCACAGTGCTCCACAGCTCTGTGGTAGTTCATTGAGAACTGCAAACCGACAAACGCCAAAGCTGTCAGGACTTATAGTTCATGCATTCACAGAACACTGTGAAGGAATGACACGATGGATCAACTTGGGTATAATTGGCTTGCCCGTAGATGGATCCGATCTCGGCCAATCCCTGTTGAACCTGCTGAGATTTGATCCATCTATGGCCAACTTAAGTGTACATATATACAAGATATTGGGCTTCTATCTTATCAATTCACCACTCAGAACTCAACAATCCTTGTGCTGGTGACTGCTGAAACATACTTTTAGTAACGGAGTCATGTTTTGAACATAATACAAATGTGCATAAAATGTAAATATTGTATGTAATACAAATGTGTTGTTTTTGTATTATTCAAATATTGTAATGAAACATATTTGATTGTTTTACCAGGGTATTTGCACTGGAAGGTAATCCACTGCCTCAACAGTCTTATTACAAGCTGATCTCAGATGATATAGTGTAAGTAAAATATATTTATTTATTATTAACGCTAAATAAGCTGTACCGTTACTTACCACTAAACAGACAGAGTACATTAATATTTTAGCCTGCAGAGGAAAAATTAGACAGAATCTGATTGGCTATTATGGTTAAATCATCGATATAGTTCACTTCAATTATATAGTCGTGCTGTCTTCTGTACCATTAGGTGCTCTTCTAGTGCTGGTCATAAACACGGCGATGCAATGATCATTTCAATGAAGGAATCATATCTTTCAGAAGTCAAACAAACCAAATGAACAGTTTTCAATAAATAATTCCTCTCACTGGCAGCACGAGACTAGAGGAAAAACCAATCACATTTAATGATGTCAAATTTTTACGCTTGCTGCCCTAAGAGTACAAAACTACCAGCTTCCTAAAGAAATTTTAATCTGTCATTTTGCATAAAAAAAATACTAGCCTGCAAGTCTTGTAGTACTGCTCCGATGGAAATGCCCTGATTCACAGTAATGCAACATAGGATGATTTTCCATGAATGTTTATTTCTGCTCACAAATATCTTAGTTGATTATGTGCTTAGTTTAAAAACCTGCCAAAATGTGATTTAAATCAAAGTGACAGGGCATATATGTATAGCAGACATCTTCATGTGTTATATGGCACTTTTGCCATATCATACCTTTAGCGTTCTTGGCTGACTCCATTTTGTGCCACAGTACCCTACCTACAACTCCAAATTTCCAAACATGGGGCAGAGTACTTACTCCCTCAGCCAGCTCTAACAGGGGTTCTCAATGCCTGACTGCTGTCACATGGAGAGCAAAGGACATGGCTACCATATATTACATAGCTAGTTAGGTTGAAAAAAGTCCATCTAATTAAATACATAGAATAAAAAACAAACAAAGAGAAAACCTCTGTATACACAATCCTAAACTCACAGTTGATCCAGAAGAAATAAAAAAAGACAGTAAAGCGTGATCCAGTTTGCTCCATCGGGGAAAAAAATCCTCCTGACCCCAGACAAGCCAATATTCCCTGGATCAACTATCCCTGACCTTTACTGACTTTTCAGAAAGTCTTTACTTTGCACATGATTGGACATTTGAAGTACAGATGTTTAACTCCTTTAGTGAGTCAGCTTCACTGTCTCCCATCTTCAAAGTGTGCAAGGTATGAGCTAAGGCAGTTACGCTTGTAAAGTCCAGCTTAAGCATGACCCTTCTTCAGTGTGATGGACAGCTTTAATGGTTAGGAGGTAAGGTCAGGCGGGCTCTGGCAGAGCTTGACTATACAAACTGAAGTCCATATTTGTATAACTGGGTACTTTTGAAAATTTCAAAGGGTACATGCAAATACTGCTTGATGACTGTGTTTCATTTATATTAGCAGTATAATATCTTTATAGAGACATCATGTTGCTTAAATATGGCAAATGTGTTTAATTTAGTAGCAGTGCTTTAAAAGAATGAGTTGCAATAGGCATATGTAATAATTGAAATATTCAGTTTTTAGTTTTTATAAATGTGGAGACTTACATGTAAAGCATTTTTAGCTTCACTTACTAATTCTGCGTCTGAGGCTTTCATTTGAGTTTTAGGTGTAAGTGGTTACTTGAATGCTACCAACTTCCTGACCTCACACAATGTCTCCCATCTTCTAAGAGTACAAAACACTGTTCACCTAGTCAACAGTTGTTACATTCCTATGGTTCTCTGTAACTATTACCAAGCTTCTGAGTAGCAGAAACGTTATTTGAGACTCAGATGGATAATATTATTGTACATCTTCTCATAAATACAGGCTTTCCCATATATTCTTGAGAACCAACAAAATTAATGAAGAGGGGGCAAGACTAATTAGTCAAGCTTTGCGAAACCTGAAGATGACCAACAAAAACCTGGCTTCTCTTGTGCTCAGCTACAATCATATCACAGACGAGGGAGCCCGTCACATTGCTCAGGTAAAAATTTAACTCCGTTAATGATCACATGAAAGAGAATTGAGATGTTGGTTATTTCTAAGCATCTACAGCCAGAAAGTATAATCATCTGCTTGTTTATATTATTTTTAGGCCTTAAGATTCAACCGATCTCTACTTTCCCTAAATCTTTCAAGCAATCAGATTAGTGATGATGGGGCTTTGGCTTTGGCAGAGGTTGGTAGTAATTTTGATGCCACTATAAATGAACTTTCTGGAGATGTTTACAGTATCATGGTGTAATGTTTTTGAATAGGTGCTGGGCCTTTTCTCATTAACACATGCTGAGATTGTACAGAGGAGACGGCTACTACTGGAGAAGGAAGCTCAGGAACAGCCACGATCGGTAAACATCAATAGATATACTTTTGCCTGTTATTAATTTTTGGTGAATTCATAAACTGGATAATGATCTGTCCTTCATAAGAGCAGACTCAGCATGTCCTATTTATTTACTTATTTGCCCCTTTTTTAGTTTATAATGCAGCAAAAGATGCCACTCAACCCACATACCTTCACTATAAAATAATAATAAAGTCCAAAACATAAAGGCCAAAGTAATAAGATCTTACACCAAATTATCCACATGTCCCAATATCTCTTTAAACTAATATCTTCTATAACTGATCACCCTTTCTACTCATGCATACACTCCCATGAACAGTATATGCTGTTCTCCAGACTAGACCTTGATGGCTAGTCAAGGGTCACATGCGCTTGTGCCCCCTGTACGGGCTGCATACAGAATGGCTCCAGATTCGCTCTCACTGTTCCATGGATCCTCCACTCACATAAGAATCATTATTTCATTCATGAAAGAAGAACAGGGACTGAATGCTCCCCGTACAGTAAAAACATTCAATATTTAAAATAACACAAGTCAGAGTCCCTACTGAGGGTCCTACAATGTATGTTGGGTGGGAAGTGGCTGACAGCATCACCCAATGAGCAAACATCGGGTAGTTCTTTAAGAGCCAATCTAAATTCACTCCATGAATAGCCAGCTTTAGAGTTTAGCTCTTTCAGCTCTGCCCAGTGTTTGACCTCCTGCCAATTCCAGAGTGTGCTTGTGGTTGGTTGTTGCTTACATTCCTCTCTGAACTTATTTTGTGATACTATTAGGCACTCTCCGGAGTTCACAAAAGGTTTGTTATAAATGAAAAATGAGGGATATTGTTCAAAAACTGCAAAAAGATTATCTGTCCCAAATCTTCAGTCTTACTATCTGGCGGCCAATATTGTCCCCTTAGCCCATCTCCATGCATCTCACAATATTCCCTTGTGGGCTACTGTAGACTTGGTGGATTCCCACCTGATACCACTCTCTTCTTTGCCAAGGCTTCCTCCTATTCATCGCCCTTCATTCCTTAGTCCGACGCTGACGCTAACGCTTCGTCTTTGGGATTCTATTAAATATTCCGCTGGCCTCATTTCCGCCCACCTGCCGTTACTACGTTTGCTACATAATCCATTATTTCCCCCAGGTCGTGACAATCCCGGACAGTTTGCTTGGTGGCTAGCCAATGGCTTCCACGATGTACATTCCTTGCTCTCTCCCACTCGGATACTCACCTTTGAAACTGTGCACTCTTGTTATGATATCCCATTGCGGGAGCATTTTGGCTACCTTCAACTCCGCCACTTTATCAATACATTAATACAGGTGCATTTGGGACCCTACATATGCAGACATAGACCCCATGCTCCGGGCTTAATCTCTCTGGTCTGCTCCTCCATTATTTCTTATAGAACGCCTCTGGTCCGTTCTTAGCGTTGGCAGTCGGAACTTGGGGGCACTCTGGATCAGCAGGATTTGCGGACCATGACCCAAGCATTATCTAAATGTTCTAGGAATGTTATCATTTTATAAAATGCCTATAAGGTTCTTTATAGATGGTATTACACGCCTGCTTTTCTGGCTCGTTTTATCACCACATACTCCCCGACTTCCTTTCGGGGTTGTCAACAAATAGGCACCATGGTCCATATTTGGTAGACTTGCTCCAAGGTTTGCAGATTGTGGATCAGAGTTTATGCCCTTCTCCACACTATGTTTCACACAGACATTAAACGCAACCCGTATGAAGCGCTCTTATTTAAACCATTAGTGGGCCTACTTCGTCCCGAACGGCAGCAGGCATCGCATCTATTCATGGCTACCAAACTGAGGATCGCGAGGGCTTGGAAGACTCCCCTCCTCAGCTTCGAGGCTGTCAAAAACTGGATGAACTTTATAATGGTTAACAAAAAGCTGCCGGCTATACTCTTAGACACCCATACAAAGTTCCTGCAGACCTGGCTTCCCTGGCTTGATATAGCCCAACCGTCGAGATTCGACCAGTCCCTCTTGTCGATATAAAATTTACATATTATTATTATTATTTTTTTTTTTTTCCGTCGCAGTCCCCCTGGAGCCCTTATCTCTTTTTTTTTTTTTTTGTCTGCTTTTCTCCTTGTTCCTCTCTTTCCTTCTGTTTAGTCTGTTTTTACGTTATTTGTGCTGATTGTGATTTCTGCTTTGAGTGCCGTACCAGCAATACTATATCCATATGCTGGTCTCCATTGAGAGCCCTGTATGTGGAGTACCTACTTGCATTCAGTGAGGCTCCATTTCTCATCTTCCCCGCCTTCTGTATGCTGATATAGTGACAACTGTTTCTTATAGTTATTATGTCATTGGTTTCTAAATGTCTACCATTTTTGCAACTTATAGTTTTGTTTTCCTTTTTTATATACGACACTTGTGTACGAAGTTTATTTTCTTGTCTACATACTCTGTATTATTCAGAAAAAACTTGTATGTTTTATTCCTGTCGGTCAGTGCATCTGCCTTTGACTGATTCTCTGCTGTTATCTATTCTGCAATAAAATCCTTTGTAAAAGAAAACTGCAAAAAGAAATATGTCCTTTCTAATGACTGCTGTGGTTCCATTTTATGTCATCTTCAACAGCCAACAATCTCAAGACACGCTGATTCCAAAAGTGAGAGACCACCTAGCCACCATAGCAACTCAGCTATCGAGAAGGGGGACAAAGCCCAGGCACAGAAGACAAAACAGAGCATAGCAAAGAAGAAGGAGAAGGTATGACATAAGCTTCAAGTTTACACATAATGACATGAGTAGCTGCCAATGTGTGCTTTTTATCATCATACAAAATGTCAGTGCAGATCACTGTTGGTGCATATGTCCAGCGTATTCTTCTTATTGGTAGGTGAGATAAGAATTTCACAAAAGTCTACATCTTTCTATCAATATTAGTTGTTTAAAGAGACACTGTTCTTTTGCCCAGTCAGGACAAAGTGACAATATCTGCATTTGACCGCCCCCCCAGGCTTTTATACTTGGCAGGCATTGCTCCCTAGCTACCTCCTTGCGGCAGCATTCCTGCCCATCTAAGCTCCTGTATCAAATGTTTAGACAGGGGGATGATGTCATGACCCCCCTTTGTAACATTTTGAGGTCACATGCTGCCTGCCTTAGCAAGGGCTCCAACAGCGCAGAAGCTGCATGGATCAGAAATTATGACTGAATGCAGGGATGAACTTTTTAAAATACAGTTTTATTGATAGGGTTTAAGCTTTTTTCTAAAAGAAAAAAACATTGCTGTAATTGCTTAAAAAGTGTTAGCTGGAGTTTGGCATTCATTTGTCACTTTAAAGTCCATTTAAAGATCCATTTATCCTGGAACTGTCCAGTTATACAGTCTTTTGGCTTCAAAACACTAAATGTATCCATGGCCATATGGGCTGTCTAGTCTTACATGACCTCAAACTTTGTCTATTAGGCATCACCTCTGTTTTTGCTTTTTATATTAATCATTCAGTTCTCACTGAACATGATTATACAACAATTTCAGTTGCAATTGATATTTTCTGTTCATAAATCTGTAGCACTGTGTTATCTACTTCTCTGGCATTTGAGAAATGACTTGCACTTTTGAGTAACTCCTTACCATAAATAAAAACTAGTATATTCTCATAGAGGGCATCCTGCAAAACTTGCTAAGATCTGGTCTTTCTGGACTCAAGGCACCACTTAAACATGAATCTCATGCAATAAAATTGAATAACATTTATTAAATGAAATCAAAGTGACAACTCACTTTTTTTCAGTTTGGACAGTGTTCATCCAGGGAACAGACAACACATTTCAAGGGTAACCTCTTGAGGCTTGAGAAAGGTTAATCCTCAAAACATATTGCCTGTTCTCTGGACATCCAATGGGGAAAACCTGGTAGCATGCCTTTTTTTCTCCAAGGAAGAACTAGATCTTGACTGCTGCTGCTAACATCAGGAATGCTACAGAAGATCCTCCTGGCAGAGGTGACAGGTGCAAGAACACATTCTCAGCCCTGCTACTGGCCAAGGCATGTGGCACTATCCAAGTGGCACTTGACCCAATTATATACTGCACAAGTCCTGTACACGCTTTCTGTTTCCTTTTATTTACTTTGGTCTGTGGAAATCCTCCATTTAATTTGATGCTGCTGGGCTTAATTGGAGAAGAGGAGAGAGTGGTGCAAACACCCTTAAATCATGGACTGTCAATCAATGGAAGACTGTAATATGGTCCAATGAATCAAGCGTTACACTGTTTACGCATGGCAGACACTGACCCAAGCTTATGTCCGGGACTGTCTTGTGCCAATTGTAAAGAATGGTGGTGGCACAATCATGGTTTGGGCAGCCATATCTTGGTATTCTGCAAGCCCCATCATCACCTTGAAAGGTAGAGTCACTGCCATCAAATATGTTCAAAATTTTGGCCAACCATGTACACCTTATGGTGCAGACATTGTTTCCTGAAGACAGCGCCATTTACGAAAACAATAATGCTCCAATTCACACAGCTGTTTGAAAATTATGGTTTCATGAGCATGCAGACAAAGTCTTGCACCTTCCCTGGGTGTCCCAGTCACCAAAACCCAATATCATAGAGCCACTATGGTCAATTTGGGCTTGTTTTCCGTCTCCGGCATCTCTGCAATAACTGGAACAATTTTTGCATGAATAGTGGTGTCAGATTCCATTATCCACCACCCAAGACTTATATTTGTCAATTCCCAAGAGAATTCAGGCCATCTTGGATGCCCAAGGTGGTCTAACACCTTATTAAGTAACAATTTAGTTCTTTTACCTGGTGTTTCCATAATTTTGTCCAACTGTCCAACCCCTGTATTTCAGCATGTTTTGCATTATATATGTCTATACAGATTTCTTAAGCAGATCATTTTTTGTGAATCTGTGGCAAAGTTTACCAGTAATAGAACTACCTGTTGCAGGCTAACCTGTTGCCCCTTAGTCAGTAACAACATTGTCAGAATTCTGTGTGTGCTCCTTTGGTTAGCTGTTGAGCTGCAGACCTGAAGTGCAACTGCCAACGGAATTGTATTTTATTGTGTGTAATATATATATGTGTGTTGTGTATGTGTGTGTGTGTGTATTGGGACACCCCTTTAAATCAATGGATTCAGGTGTTCCAATCACCTCCATGGCCACAGGTGTATAAACTCAACCACCTAGGCATGCAGACTGCTTCTACAAACATTTGTGAAAGAATGGGTCACTTTCAGGAGCTCAGCCAATTCAAGCATGGTACCGTGATAGGTTACCACCTGTGCAATAAAGCCAATTCGTGAAATTTCCTTCCTGCTAAATATTCCACGGTCAACTGTTAGTGGTATTGTAACAAAGTGGAAGCAACTGGGAACAACAGCAACTCAGCTACGAACTGGTAAGCCACGTAAAATGACAGAGCGGGGTCAGCGCATGCTGAATCGTACAGTGCGAAAAAGTCACCAACTGTCTGCAGAGTCAATAGCTAAAGACCTCCAAATTTCCAAACTTCATGTGGCCTTCATATTAGCACAACAACAGAGCTTCATGGAATGGGTTTCCATTGCCGAGCAGCTGCATCCAAGCCTTGCATCACCAAGTGCAATGCAAAGCGTCGGATGCAGTGGTGTAAAACTCGCCGCCGTTGGACTCTAGAGCAGTGGAGACGTGTTCTTTGGAGTGACGAATCACGCTTCTGTGTCTGGCAATCCGATGCACGTGTCTGGGTCTGCCAAGAGAACGGTACTTAACTGCTTTGTACCAAGTGTAAATTTTAGTGGAGGGGGTATTATGGTGTGGGGTTGTTTTTCAGGGGTTGGGGTTGGGCCCTTATTTCCAGTGAAGGGAACTCTTAAGGTGTCAGCATACCAAGACCTTTTGGACAATTTCATGCTCCCAACTTTGTGGGAATAGTTTCAACATGACTGCACGGTCAATGAGAAAACTCAGACCAGAGGACTAGTATTACTGGATCTACACTATATTGCCAAAAGTAAGGGGACATTTGCTTTTGCACTCACATAAATTTTAATGGAATCCCACTCTTAGTCTGTAGGGGTCAATATTGAGTTGGACCACCCTCTGCAGCTATAACAGCTTCAACTCTTCTGGGAAGGCTGTCCACAAGGTTTAGAAGTGTGTCTATGGGAGTGTTTGACCATTATTCCAGAAGCCCATTTGTGAGGTCAGGCACTGATGTCGGACGAGAAGGCCTATCTTGTAATCTCCACTTGAATCCATCCCAAAGGTGTTCTATAGGGTTGAGGTCAGGACTCTGTGCAGGCCAGTCCAGTTCCTCCACCCCAAACTCATCCCTGTCTTTATGGACCTTGCTTTGTGCACTGTTGCGCAGCAGTCGTGTTGGAACAGGAAGTCAGGCAAGTACCGTTCTCCTTGCAATCGCCAAACCCAGACACATCCATTGGATTGCCAGTGTCAGGGACTGCGAGTCTCGCCACGGCGCACAGGTCTGCGAATGCGCAGATTGCCTAGGTGCACTAATGTGCAGGCACTAGGACCTGGGCGTCCGCGGTGGCTATTGTGGCCGGGCATGCGCACTCACACGCCTGGCACCAATGACGGTGCAGGGCGCACTATTTAAACTGGCCAGGCGGTGACCAGGTTGCCGCAAGGTCTAGTTCCTGTTCCTGTGTTTCTGAAGACGTTCCTGTTGCCGATCCTGCTTGTCCTGAATTGTGTTGACCTTCTCCTGCTCTGACCCCCAGCTCGTCCCTGACTACTCTTCTGCCTGTTGTTATATTATTACTGGACCTCCCGTTGCTGAACCTTGGCTCGTGACCCGGCTACTCTCTGTCTGCTGCTTGGTACCTACCTGCCTCCACTGTTACTGACCCGGCTAGTCTGACTATGCTCACTCCTGACTGTCATCCATTCATCCCGTCCGGGACCTGGACTTGTCAACCTCTTCACTTCAGGCTCACCCCTGGCACATACCCTCAGCAGGGACCCCTCTACCACAGTTGGGTGCACTCAGGGGTCACGACCTGGTCTCAGTCTTGCAACAAGTCCATCCCCACTATCAGGGGTTCTGGTGAAAAGGCAGACTGGGACTTAGTCTCCGCGTCCTGGGGAATCCCGTTCTGTGGATCACTAGATATCACACTGGGCGGTGTCTGACAGCCAGACAGAGAAGTGTGACTCATCACTCTAGAGAACACGTCTCCACAGCTCTAGAGACTCTAGTGGCAGTCTGCTTTACACCACTAGTTTGACACTTTGCATTGCACTTGGTGATGTAAGGCTTAGATGCAGCTGCTCAGCCATGGAAACCCATTCCATGAAGCTCTCTAAGCACTGTTGTTGTGCTAATCTGAAGGCCACATAAAGTTTCAAGGTCCTTAGCTATTGATTCTGCAGAGAACTGGTGACTTTTGCGCACTGTGCGCTTCAGCATGCGCTGACCCCGCTCTGTCATTTTACGTGGCCTACCACTAACAGTTGACCGTGGAAAAATTTAGTAGAAAGGAAACTTCACGGATGGACTTATTGCACAGGTGGCAACCTATCATGGTTGATTTTATACAGCCATTGCCACAGAGGTGATTGGAACACCTTAATCCAATGATTTGGGGTGTCCCAATCTCTTGGCAATATATTGTATATACAGTATATTTATTAAACTGGCAGGAGAAATGCCTATCCTATGAACTTCCAATTAAGTATACAAGTTACACAGTGACTCAGATTGCAGGTAAAATTGGGAAATCCAGATCTACCCAATGTTTACTTTAAAGTAAAGAATATTCTGTCATAGGAGACACTGAAAAAGGAGGAGAAATCAACTAACAACATGACAAGTGGAACCTCCAATGCAGCTGCCCAAGCTGGTGGAACAACCAAGAAAGACGACCTCAAAACAGCCAAGAAACGTAAGTTGTAATAAGAGCTATCAGGGGTGTGAAATCTGTAGATCCTCATACATTATTAGGTCACAAGATGTGAAAAAAAGTCGGAAAATTGTATACTTACCTGACATTAATTTTCCTTTCCTGACGCAGATGCTTAAACATGAATGGGTATAGGCTTCGCCCCTTGCCCAATCCCAGGACAGGTTATACTATATAAACAAGTCGGCTTCCTAATGACAGCATTCTCTTAACTATACTCAATGCAAAGCCTAAACTGTATGCTGTCATGTTTAAGTGGCAGGAAAGGAAAATTAAGTTAAGTATACAATTTTACTGTTTCCTGACAGTATACACGAATGGGATGTAGCACGATAACTAGAGATGAGCGAATCGAACATGGCGAAGTGGAATTCGTTTCGAAGATCAGGAAAAATTCGATTCGCGCCGAATCCGAAAATTAGCAAACTTCGGATGCACGAATCGAATTTTCCCAAAAATGGCGGCGACATGTGTGGCGACGGAGCGGGGATCTCTGGGAAGGCGCGCAGACAAGGCGCGCTGACCCATAATGCATTCATTCATGACATGTGATCGCATTAGCCAATCAGCAGCCAGCCAGCCAGCACTGTGTAATGGTGGAGCTATAAATTGCGGCCATCTTACAATTCTCCATTAGCCTCCGGTCATTCAAGAGAGACAGACCTCTGTGTATTAGGGACAGAGTTAGGGCCACAGAGACTTTAGGGCCACAGAATCGTTACTTAGGGACACAGAATCGTTACTTAGGGACACAGAATCGTTACTCAGGGACACAGAATTGTTACTCAGGGACACAGAATTGTTACTCAGGGACACAGAATCGTTACTCAGGGACAGACACAGAATTGTTACTCAGGGACACAGAATTGTTACTGAGGGACACAGAATCGTTACTCAGGGACACAGAATTGTTACTCAGGGACACAGAATCGTTACTCAGGGACACAGAATTGTTACTCAGGGACACAGAATTGTTACTCAGGGACAGACACAGAATTGTTACTCAGGGACACAGAATTGTTACTGAGGGACACAGAATCGTTACTCAGGGACACAGAATTGTTACTCAGGGACACAGAATTGTTACTCAGGGACAGACACAGAATTGTTACTCAGGGACACAGAATTGTTACTGAGGGACACAGAATCGTTACTCAGGGACACAGAATCGTTACTGAGGGACACAGAATCGTTACTCAGGGACACAGAATTGTTACTCAGGGACACAGAATTGTTACTCAGGGACACAGAATTGTTACTCAGGGACACAGAATCGTTACTGAGGGACACAGAATTGTTACTCAGGGACACAGAATTGTTACTCAGGGACAGACACAGAATTGTTACTCAGGGACACAGAATTGTTACTCAGGGACACAGAATTGTTACTGAGGGACACAGAATCGTTACTCAGGGACACAGAATTGTTACTCAGGGACACAGAATTGTTACTCAGGGACAGACACAGAATTGTTACTCAGGGACACAGAATTGTTACTGAGGGACACAGAATCGTTACTCAGGGACACAGAATCGTTACTGAGGGACACAGAATCGTTACTCAGGGACACAGAATTGTTACTCAGGGACACAGAATTGTTACTCAGGGACACAGAATCGTTACTGAGGGACACAGAATTGTTACTCAGGGACACAGAATTGTTACTCAGGGACAGACACAGAATTGTTACTCAGGGACACAGAATTGTTACTCAGGGACACAGAATTGTTACTGAGGGACACAGAATCGTTACTCAGGGACACAGAATTGTTACTCAGGGACACAGAATTGTTACTCAGGGACACAGAATTGTTACTCAGGGACAGACACAGAATTGTTACTCAGGGACACAGAATTGTTACTGAGGGACACAGAATCGTTACTCAGGGACACAGAATTGTTACTCAGGGACAGACACAGAATTGTTACTCAGGGACACAGAATTGTTACTGAGGGACACAGAATCGTTACTCAGGGACACAGAATCGTTACTGAGGGACACAGAATCGTTACTCAGGGACACAGAATTGTTACTCAGGGACACAGAATCGTTACTCAGGGACACAGAATTGTTACTGAGGGACACAGAATAGTTACTGAGGGACACAGAATCGTTACTCAGGGACACAGAATCGTTACTCAGGGACACAGAATTGTTACTCAGGGACACAGAATTGTTACTGAGGGACACAGAATCGTTACTGAGGGACACAGAATTGTTACTGAGGGACACAGAATTGTTACTGAGGGACACAGAATTGTTACTCAGGGACACAGAATTGTTACTCAGGGACAGACACAGAATTGTTACTCAGGGACACAGAATTGTTACTCAGGGACACAGAATTGTTACTCAGGGACACAGAATCGTTACTCAGGGACACAGAATTGTTACTCAGGGACACAGAATTGTTACTCAGGGACACAGAATTGTTACTCAGGGACAGACACAGAATTGTTACTCAGGGACACAGAATTGTTACTCAGGGACACAGAATTGTTACTGAGGGACACAGAATCGTTACTCAGGGACACAGAATTGTTACTCAGGGACACAGAATTGTTACTGAGGGACACAGAATTGTTACTGAGGGACAGAATCGTTACTCAGGGACACAGAATTGTTACTCAGGGACACAGAATTGTTACTGAGGGACACAGAATTGTTACTGAGGGACACAGAATCGTTACTCAGGGACACAGAATCGTTACTCAGGGACACAGAATTGTTACTCAGGGACACAGAATTGTTACTGAGGGACACAGAATCGTTACTCAGGGACACAGAATCATTACTCAGGGACACAGAATCGTTACTAAGGGACACAGAATCGTTACTGAGGGACACAGAATCGTTACTGAGGGACACAGAATCGTTACTGAGGGACACAGAATTGTTACTCAGGGACACAGAATTGTTACGCAGGGACACAGAATCGTTACTCAGGGACACAGAATTGTTACTCAGGGACACAGAATCGTTACTCAGGGACACAGAATCATTGAATTAAAGAGTATGTCAGACAACACGCAGAGGAGTGGCAGAGGAGGCAATGTTTCAGGAGCGAGCAGACGTGGCAGCAGAGGAAGGGGTCGAGGCAGCGCTAGTCGCAGCCAGAGGCCAGTGCTCCCGGTGTCATCCAGCGGTCGTGTCTCCACCGACAACCCTGCCGTCATCGATTGGGTTGGCTCGGTCGTCTTACTCTTCCCAGGTCACCTCTGACACCTACAGCCAACGGTCGGTGGGTACGTCAGACACAACCGTTAGTTGGCATGGCCCGGGAGCAAGCCCACTGAAATCACGTGTCCTCTACCTGCCCCTGTCCTTTGGTGTTCCCTCACCAAGCGAAGTATCGCATGCTGTGGGCTCAGCCCCACTGTACAGTGAGGAAGAGCTAACAGAGGGCGGTCAGGAACGGGGGGAGACATCCGCCTCTTCAGCAGCCAGGCGAAGAAGTACTGGCGAGGAGAGTGGCTCGGTAGCCGGTCTAGAGACAGGTCTGTCTCCTGACCCACACGCAGCCGAGGGGGCTAGTAGTGAGGCGGAGACCCTAATTGATGATGATGAGGCTGATCGCACTTGGCAGCCTCGTCGTCATCAGGCTATTGCTTCCGCATCATCAGGAGAAGAGGGTGCCAGCTTGGCAGCGAGCAAAACAGTCGGTGGGTTGCCCAGGAGGCAGCAGGGTTGCAGCAGTGTCAGTGGAGGCAAACGGCCACGGAGTAGAGCACCAGCTCCACTGCAGCCTACCACCACGGCCAGTAGTGGTGCCGGTGTGCACGGAGGAAGTAGCAGTCAGCCAGTGAGGAGTAGCGGGGGCAAAGTTTCCTACTCGGCGGTGTGGCAATTTTTCGTCAAGCCGCCCGAGGAAGTAAACGTAGCCGTATGTCGACTATAAATCCGCCATGAATCATGCCCCAAACATGTTATTATTTTTAACATAGGCCTCTGTATGGCCTTCAATTTAAGCTGCTTACGCTTCGCCACTCTGCCATGGGCCCCTGTACCGCCTCCTCTTGCTGCTGCCAGGTCCAGAGTGTGTCATGGGTCCCTGTACGGCCTCCCATTGCTGCTGTCTCCATCGCCACACTCTGCCATGTGCCACTTTCAGGTCTCCTCACACTGCTGGTGGGTTCCATTTTGTCATAGGGTGCTGGCAGAGTACGGGCCTCCCATTGCTGCTGCCAGGCCCGTAATCTGCCATGGGCCCCCGTACCGACTCCTCATGCTGCTGCCAGGCCCGTAATCTGTCATGGGCCCCTGTACCGCCTCCTCATGCTGCTGCCAGGTCCAGAGTGTGTCATGGGTCCCTGTACGGCCTCCCATTGCTGCTGCCAGGCCCGTAATCTGCCATGGGCCCCCGTACCGACTCCTCATGCTGCTGCCAGGCCCGTAATCTGTCATGGGCCCCTGTACCGCCTCCTCATGCTGCTGCCAGGTCCAGAGTGTGTCATGGGTCCCTGTACGGCCTCCCATTGCTGCTGTCTCCATCGCCACACTCTGCCATGTGCCACTTTCAGGTCTCCTCACACTGCAGGTGGGTTCCATTTTGTCATAGGGTGCTGGCAGATTACGGGCCTCCCATTGCTGCTGCCAGGCCCGTAATCTGCCATGGGCCCCCGTACCGACTCCTCATGCTGCTGCCAGGCCCGTAATCTGTCATGGCCCCTGTACCGCCTCCTCATGCTGCTGCCAGGTCCAGAGTGTGTCATGGGTCCCTGTACGGCCTCCCATTGCTGCTGTCTCCATCGCCACACTCTGCCATGTGCCACTTTCAGGTCTCCTCACACTGCTGGTGGGTTCCATTTTGTCATAGGGTGCTGGCAGATTACGGGCCTCCCATTGCTGCTGCCAGGCCCGTAATCTGCCATGGGCCCCCGTACCGACTCCTCGTGCTGCTGCCAGGCCCGTAATCTGTCATGGGCCCCTGTACCGCCTCCTCATGCTGCTGCCAGGTCCAGAGTGTGTCATGGGTCCCTG